AGAGAGAGAGAGAGAGAGAAAGGAAAAAAACAGCATTTCAGAAAGGCTGTCCACATTTCTTAGTATGAAAACAATTCCTGGGGCCTCCCTGACTTATTTTAAGGACCATCAACAGACAGCTATGGATTCCAGAGTACTGTTGAGATAAGCTGCAGGCTCAACTCCAAGACAGATCTGGGAGGGAGTAGCACATGTCCCCAAACCAAAATTCAGGTTCCAAATTGCTCCCTTGTGAGGAATAAAGTCTGAACACTTACCCAGCTTGGGAGCAGGTGAGAACCCCGCAGCACTGTCCAGAACTGGAGCACTCCCTGGTAGCAGCCCCCTAGCTCGTGCCTTGGCCTCTTCAATGGCATGCTTTCTCTTTTCCACCTCACTTTCTAGGTGTGTCAAATCAACCTGAAAAGCCAGAATCATCCAATCAGAACCAAATGCTTCTGGCCAAACACAAGCATATAATCCACACAAAAAAACACAGAGGAACCTTTTTCCGTGTATAAAGCTGAAGGATCTTAAAGCAAATTTCTTGAATTTCTTCTTCAGTTGCTCCAAACAAAAGAAACCAATGTGGACGATTGGGTAAAGGGATCTGTGAATACAAACGTTATCATGTCACTTTCCTTAAGAACTCCAAGGCTAGGTATGGTGGTGCACACCTTTAATCTTAGCACTCAGGAGCAGAGGCTGGATCTTTGTGAATCTGAGGGTTCTCAAAAAACACCACCACTACCACCATCACCAACAAAACACTTCAAGACCAACAAGATTCTTAGGGCAACACCTGAAAACGGCCTGACAGTTACCAAGAAACTCTGTTGCTAATGAACCTAGTTTGACAAATACATTAACATTACTAGAGGGTGGAAAAAGGTCTAGAGTCTAAAACGCAGGCAGCCATATACTTACCTCCAGTGTCCGGGCAGCGAGGTAGATACAGGCACAAGCAATGCTCTCAGGTTGGAACCGCACAAAGACATCTGTGCGAAGGCTGTCATTCATGTAGTTCCTAAAAACAAAACCAGGAAGATTGTAATGATATGGGCAACTACGCCACTACCTGTCACCAAAGATTGTTATTCCTAAGGGTTCTACACTAGGATTGGGCTGGGAACTCTGGGAATCTCCAGAGATACCAGGGGACATTCTGAATACATGAAAGAAATCACTGGGGAAAAAAAGCTGGCTGAATGTCAAACAATACATGTTGCTATGAACGAGAACCGACTTTAACTTTACTTTTCCTTCTATATTTGGCCTGCTATCATGCAAAGCACAATGCTTAGAAAGAAAATGCTACTTAGTAGTTAAAATGAAGTTGATTAAAGAAATCTAAATGTTCAAAATCCATAGTGCAGAGAAACATGCAAACTCAAATGAGCAGGCTGAGCATGAAGCCTTGACTGTGAGACAAGCTGTCCTGTGTTCCTTTTCTTCAGGCAGCACTTGTGGCCCGGTCCTTCTCCAGATGACTGAGCCGCAGCTCCAGTGAGGGAGTCCACTTGGAAAAGGGAAAGGCCCTTGGGTGCAGTTCAGATGCATGGGCACATCATGCAGAGGAGGTCAACACCCAAGGGAATCCTCTTCTCAGGCTTATCAAAGAACGTTTCCAAACTGTCCCATTTCAACAAGGAGTCTTAAAATGAACATTCATAAAAATCAGACAGAAGCAACAAAACACTAAAAGTGGCAACAAGCTAAGTACACTTAAAAATACTATAATACTTTAGAAGATATATGTAAGTACAAAACTTCACATTTTTAGAAAAGTTAAAGGTCTTTAAAAATTGGCTACATCTTTAACATTTTCTTTATATATTTCTTTTAAATTTATAGTCTAAAACCAAATGGTAAACTAGCTTTATCAACAGTACAAAAACAATTCATAAGAAAACATGTTAAGAGGTTATATTATACACTGCTCAACATATCCAATAATGGTATAATACACACACCCTAATGTCAGGCTGTACCTCATAAGATTTAGCTACCCCCACCCAGTATCTTTGCCCTAAAACCTTAGAGAAAGTAACATTCAAACCCAATTTGATATTCTAAACAGTAAATTCTACATATGTCTATAAGAGGCAGCTGGCCCTGGAAGCATTAACTCTACACATCAGAAGGGAAGCCAGAATGATAGCTGCACTATCCATCTCTCAGGAGCCATTCTGTGGCTAAACAGCATAAACATTCACAAATATAACCATCAATAACTTTATTACTAATAAGGAATTTTTAGTATTCAAATGTACTAACTCATTAATTTTAACTTCTAAAAACAAGTGAAATCCTTTAAAGGTGTATTTAAATTTATGCTACATTTGAAATAAGTTACAATAGTTTAACTTAAAGATGCATACCTTTACTGGAATGAGTGCCATTTAAGCTGCTGAAAAGAGCAACTGTAGGACTTGGGAGAAATAATGTCAAGATCTAGCAACAGCCTGAATTTCCACCATGCCAATTTGTCACTTCAGTTCTTACAGCTTTCTATACATTTTTTTTTTTTTAACAAGAAAGGTATTGCATCTTTATTGCACAGGTACAGCAGTTTTAAAAGGACAAAATTCAAGTTAAGACAGTTATCAACTCTAATTGATTGATACAATTACCAAGCACGACAGGATTAACAAGAAGCACAATCGTCAGAGAACCACAAGCAGCAGTCGGCCATGACTATACTATCAGGTACGCATACCACCAGTCTAGAGCCAGCCTTCGGTGGAGAGCCTGCACTGGATTGGCTGAAGACGGCCGCTGTCCCTGCACCAAAGCGCTTGGACAGCAGAGGAGAAGTCTTAGTCACTTACCCTCAGAGGCTACCCTTTGATTGAAAGAGTACAGAAAAGAAAAGTCAAAATAGGTTCTCTATAAAGCATGTCATAGCACCAGACAATTCAGTCAGCAATTATGACCCCTACAGACTTAACTCTGTGGGGGAAATATACCCCAACACCAAATTGTTACTTCAGGCTTCATTCTAGCATATGCCTGCTAAAACCAACCCAGGACTGCATCAAAACCCCTTCCCTTCCCTAAATTCTCTGAAAACAATACCACTGATTCTGTGGTTGGGACTATCACCTATAACATTCCTATACCCAGCCACCAAACCCCAGAGGGAAGCCCACTGACTACTCTCCCAGGGTGGAAGCATTGGAAATACAGGGGCAGGGGTGGATGGGCCACCTACCGTTAAGCCTGTCCCTGTCATTTGGGGGGAGGCACTGGGACAATTCCAGACCATAACCAAGTCATGGGATGACAACCCACTGCCCAAGTGCCTCAAGTAATACATTCCTGAACTGCCCTTGCTGGTCTCATAAAACAAGGAAAATCAACTCACCATGCAGTCTGGACCAGGTGTTGATTACGCTCACACTCTAACACCTGAAGGTACATAACGATTATCTGGAAGATATGGGTCAGGCAGTTATTACCAAAAACTTGGAGAGCAGGGAACTCAGATCTTGGTGTCCATGCAGCAAAAGAACCTCAAGCTATACCCCAGGGAGCTCCTGGTGACGTCCGGCAGACAGCTCCACTTTTGTGATGTGCTTGCTACCTGCTTTTATAGTTGGGCAGAGTGCACATGTGAAGACCAAGCTGCACCCATGGCATCGAAGGCCTTGTTTTCCATGTGGCTCATTTTCATTCTCGTTGACAACACCTTTTCCACCAGTGAGATTAGCCTGCCCTACACATCCCTTTACCCCAGTAGCCAACTTGTACAAAACATGAAAATACATTAAACAAATTAAGAAAAGTACTTAAAATATTTAGTGGGTGATAATGTCAGAAACTCAAATAAGCAAGAGAAGATGACAAGGCCACAGAAGTAAACATGAACTTTTGTTTGGTTTATTAAGGCAGGGTCTCACTATGTAGATCTGGCTGGCCTGGAGCTTGATATGCAGACCAGGTTGGCCTCAAACTCAGAGATCTGCGTCCCTTTTGCTACCCAAGTACTAGGATTAAAAGTGTATACTACTATGCCCAGCTAAGCCTGAAGCTTTAAAGACTTAGTTTAGCTAAACTAGGTAAGACACTCAAGAGACAGAACAATAAACTCATTTCTAATCAGCAAATGATATAAACTATTTTGGTTCATTTTGAAATAAAAGGATTCAGAATTGTTCTTGTTCTTCTACTGGAAATAGTAAAGCTAGCTTTTAAAAGTTAGTTCTTGACAGGCGGTGGTGGCGCACGCCTTTAGTCCCAGCACTCAGGAGGCAGAGCCAGGTGGATCTCTGTGAGTTTGAGGCCAGCCTAGTCTACAGAGTGAGATCCAATACAGGCACCAAAACTACATAGAGAAACCCTGTCTCGAAAGACCAAAACAAACAAACAAACAAAGTTAGTTCGTAAGGGCTAAGGAGAAAGCTCAGTCAGTAAAGTGCTTGCCTCACAATCCCTAGAATGCATATGAAAATGGTGGATGGGGTAGCTCACTTTTGAGAAGTAGATACAGAAGGATTTGGGAAATAGAGACAGAAGGATTCCTGGGACTCACTGGCCAGCCAGTCTAACCTAATTGGTAAGGTCCAGGCCAATAAGACCACCTGTCCCAGGAGGAAATATTCCTGGCAATTTTATCTGGTCTCCAAATGTACTTGCACACACATGCACTTAAAAAAAAAAAAAAAAAAAAAAAAAAAATTACTGTTCGTCAAATCTTTCTTTTTTTTTGAGATGGCTCAGAGGTTAAGAACACCGGCTGGGGGCTGGAGAGATGGCTCAGAGGTTAAGAGCACCGACTGCTCTTCCAGAGGTCCTGAGTTCAATTCCCAGCACCCACATGGTGGCTCACAACCACCTGTAATGAGATCTGGTGCCCTCTTTCGTATACATAATAAATAAAAAAAAAAAACAAAAAAAAAACCGGCTGTTCATCCAGAGGTCCTGAGTTCAATTCCCAGCACCCACATGGTGGCTCACAACCATCTGTAATGAGATCTGGCTCCCTCTGCAGGAATACATGCACATAGAACATTGTATACATAATAAATAAGTAAATCTTAAAAAAAAAAAAAAAAGAAAGAAAGAAAGAAAGAAAAGAAAAATTTACATGGGGCTGGTTAAGAGAACTTGACTTCTCTTTCAGAGGTCCTGAGTTTAATTTCCAGCAACCACATGTGGCTCACAACCATCTATAATAGGATCAGATCCCCTCTTCTTGTATGAATGAAGACAGAGCAATCATATACATAAACTGTATGAACAAATCTTTCTTCTTTCTTTCTTTTTGGTATTTCAAGACAAGGTTTCTCTGTGTAGCTTTCGAGCCTGTCCTGGAACTCGCTCTGTAGACCAGGTTGCCCTTGAACTCACAGAGATCTACCTGCCTCTGCCTCCCAAGTGCACAGATTAAAGCTGTATGCCACCACACCAGGCTAAGCCCTGCTTATTTTTGAAATAAGGTCTCATGCAGGGGAAGCTGGCCTCCTACTGGAAATGTAGCTAGAGATGTCTTTGAAATCCTAACCTGCTTGCCGCCAAGTCAGGCAAGAAAAATGTATTTTAATGGATTCAACTTCTAACTTTACCACTGCTTTTGAAAGCCCAGATCTAAAGGACATCATTTCAAAAACTCTTATATTACTAAAAGTAATATAAAAGGTTGATAAATAAAGGATTAATTTTACATTCTAGACATAAACAAGAAAACCAAATGAAGGGAACATTCGGTACTCTTCAAGGTCTTCACTTCAGCACATAGTAGAAGTCAGCTGAAGTATGGCTTAGTTGGCTGCAGGTGCCAAACCAAACCCACCTTATGAGGGTGCTTCACATGGACACAAAAGCCCAGCTCCTTAAGAACACGTCTTTCTGCCTTTATAATCTGGTTCTTTAAATTAACATACTCTTGATCCAGCACTAGAGGCACAGGTTTCCTGCAAAGACAGAGCATATATTCTCTATCAGGATCAATCAAGCAAAAGTCTTTCAGATTCCACCAAGTGATTACACTACAGTACCAGAAAGCTACAAATGTCACTTCCTTTAACAAAATTGCAAAACAGCCCTCAAACCTCAATTCTAACCTATGTACACTTTATTACTAACCTGCCCCTAGTCTCTACACATAAACAGTATTTAGCATATAAATACACCTCTTGAATATGGTGGAAGGTCTCAGGATATCTGCACAAGTGTTATATAACACCAAGATTCAAGACAAAAACATCAACCTTTCTGGTTGAATGGGAAACTACAGAATCAATAAAGTCATCCCTCAGTATGTACTGGAGCTGGTTCCATGACAACTTTCACCTAATACTAATATTAATATTAGTATTAATTTCACCTAATACCTATGAATGCTTAAATTTCTTATACAAAATGGTGGAATACCCCAAAGCACTTACATATAGCCTCCACACATTTCAAATCATATTTAGGTACTTCATGATACTTAGTACAATGTAAATGCTACACACATATAGTCATGGTACTGTTGTTTAAGGAATAGTGACAAGAAAGTCTATACATGTTCAGCACAGACACTGACTCCACTCCCTGCACTTCAATATTTTCAATCCAAGGTTGGTTGAACTCTTCAATGAGAAGGCTACAGATATAGACAGACCATCAAAAAAGAGACCAGGTTTAGCCTGGCATAGTGGCGCATGCCTTTGACTGCAGCACTCGGGAAGCAGAGGCAGGTGGATTTCTGTGAGTTTCGAGGCCAGCCTGGTCGACAGAGTAAATTCCAAGATAGTCAAAGGTCTACAAAGAAACCCTGTATTAAAAAACCAAACCAAACCAACAACAAAACAAGAGACCAGGTTATGTTTTAAAAGGTTTCTGTTAAGTTGGGCATAGTGGCACATTCCCCTAACCCAAGCACTCTAGGGGTCGAGACATCCATCTGAGTGAGGCCAGCCTGGTCTACATAAAGTTCCAGGCCAACTAAGGCTGCATAATAAGACTCTGGTACAAAAAAAAAGGCAGAACAAAATAAAAACTAAAAGGCTCCTGTGAAAAAGAACAGAAAGTCTGGGATAAGGTGTCTAGGGGCATGGTCCACTTCTAGGGACAACAGTTGTCTGGTTTTTTGTGTGGATACTTTTTTCTTTCTTTCTTTCTTCTTGTAATTTTGTATGGAGGAATGCTGTAGTCAGCTGCCTCCTTCTACTTCTACCATGGTAACCTCAGCATCCAACCCAGGGCCTCAGGCTTGACAGCAGGGCTCTTTTACCCACTACACCATCATCAACCCTGGGTGCGTGTTCTTGAAAACTTGTATTACATTGTTTGGTTTGTGGGTTGTGACTGTGGAGGACAAAGGACAACTGTGGGAGTCAATTCTCTCCTGCCATGTTGATCCTAGAGCTGAATTCACGGTCCTTTACCTGTTGAGACCCTCACTATTGCTTTTGGGTTTTACCTATTTTTGAGAAAGGATCTTCTTTTGTGACAGGGTCTTATGTACTCCAGGCTGGCTTCAAATTCATTATGTAACTGAGGATAGATGACCTTGAACTCTTGATCTTATTCCACCTCTCAATCACCAGGATTTCAATTGCATATCTCTACTTCTGATTCGCTCCAAGGGTGGGTTGGTTTTTGTTCATTTATTGTTGTTGTTTTGCTACACAGGGTTTCTCTGTGTAGCCCAGCTGTCTTGCAACTTAGCTCTGTAGCCCAGGCTGACCTCAAACTCAAATGAATCTCCTGCCTCTGCCTCCTGAGTGCTAGGATTAAAGGCTTGTGCCACCATGCCCAGTTCTCCATGAGTGTTTTAAAAAGCAGTATTTGGAGACAAGCATGCTTACACGTGTAATCTGAACATAAGGGGAGATTGAGATGGGACTGCTAAGAGGTTGAAATCAGCCTCACCTACATTTCAGGCCACTTACGGCTACACAGCAAGATCAGATATCAAAACAAGACAAATTCTAGGGATAGTTCTGTTAATCACTTTGGAAGGATACAAATGCTTCCTGGCAAGGAGAGGCCAGGAATGCTGGTCAACATAATACAATGCTGGGACAACTCCCTTAATGAAGAATCACCAGCCCAGAAACATGGAGAAAACAGGAGAACAGGGTGGTGAGCTGATGTGGTCACAGAGGAATTGTCCCAGCAGACCTAGAACAGCCAGCTTTCCTGCTTAATGTGCTCCCCTACTGCTACCTCTAGACAGCATCAGGCACTCGGGAACAAGCTACTGTAAATCCACAGGTTGGTATTACAATACCAGACACACAAGCTCTGGAAAGGACTCACTTTTTCTCTCTTAGATGCCGAAGGCGATGGAATACATTGATGACATCCCTGATTCGTCTTGGAGCCTCTTCTATTTTGGAAGCCAGGTGAACACAAGCCATGGACACATGCTGAAATGTACATTGGGACACAGGTGTTTTTCCCCAACCTGAGGACCTTCCAGGGCGTTAAAAACTATTAGGAGCAAAAAGAAAGTACAGAGACAGGCCTCCAGGGAGAGAACTGTATAGACATTGCAGGACAGAATTCAGTTCACTAAGTAGCACGCAGAACAAGCCAGGTTTCCTCCCAATTCATCTCTCTGATAAAACAAAGAAGCCTACCTCCATGGAATGTTTCACGAAGGACTTAGTGTAAAAGAATCGCTGGAACAACACCTGCCCTGTAGCCATGGCCACCTAGGGACGGAGAAGATTCCATCACTTTTGAACGCAGAACTCAAACCTGTCTCAGCTGAAATGTCATGTGTAGTTCCCCCTAGGACAAATACCCACGGCAGTTTCCATTTCCCCAAAGAATTTCTGTCTCGCGAGTTTGTCCTGGGGTTTGTAAGAGGGCCTTCGCCCGAGGGGGAGGGGGAGGGGAAGCCGGTCAGCGGTCAGGTTTGAAGCATGGACTCAGGGGGATCATGTCCAGGCTGCGGTGCGGGCCGGGCTCCGACCTCAGTCATGGTCTAGGTCCGGTTGGCTCCGGGACGGGGGCCAAGCCGACAACAAAGGCCTGGCACTCTCGGCCGGCCGGCCGGCGGACGGTTACCTATAAAGCTCGCGGCCGCACCCTTACCTGCGGCAGGCGAAGCAGGATGCCGGCTGCCTGGATGAGCTCGCAGCCCACCACGCGGAGGCCGGTCTCTGTGTCGATATCGAGACCGCTCGACATGGATGGCGTGAAGCGAAGCTTGTCGTCGGGCAGCAAGCAGTTCTCCAAAGTGATGAGCACGCCCGAGTATAGCCTGTCACCGATCAGTACCCCCTGAGACCCTGGGGCGGCTCCCCCCGAGCCGGAAGAGCCGGCCGCCAACGCAGGAGCCGCCAACACCGAAGCCCCGGCCGCCGACGCCGCCATTTTGTGCCGCCGATTCTTTTTCGGGCCCTTCCCGGAGGGCGGCTCCTCGCGACGATCGCAGCCGCCCCGCCCCGCCTCCGCCCATTGGCTGCACGTCACCGCCGCCTCGACCCCGTTGGCCGTACGACCTGTTCTTCTGTTTCGCGTCAGGCTCTGACGCCGGAAGTGGCCACGGGAGGGGCTGCTCGTTACCCATTCGGCTCCGCCGCCTGGACAGAATCGGAAGCGGTCAGTCCGGAGGGTATTGCAGCGCTCCTGCCTCGCAGACTGGAGCTCTAGAAGGGAGTCTTTCCGTGGGTATTGGGACTTCTTCCCCACAGTCTCACACGCACAGCATTACAGCGCGATTTAGTCCAGAGCCTTTAGTTCTCAACCCTTCCAGCTCTTCCTCTGGCTCTGCTACAGCTGAGGGGTGGATCTGTCAGCATTAAAAGTGCAGGTCAGAGCCGGGCGGTGGTGGCGCACCCGGGAGGCAGAGGCAGGTGGATCTCTGTGAGTTCGAGTTCGAGGCCAGCCTGGTCTACAAAGCGAGATCCAGGACAGGCCCAAAAACTGCAGAGAAAACCAATAAAGAAAAACCAAAAAAAAAAAAAAAAAAAAAGTGCAGGTTAAGGAACCAGAGATGCCCTTCCAGAGGTCCTCAGTTCAAACATAGTGGTTCACAACCATCTATAATGGGATCTGATGCCCTCTTCTGTCATGTAGGCATACATACAAACAGAGCACTCATATACATAAATAAATCTTTTATTTTTTAAGGGCAGATTAAAGAGAACTGGAAAAGTCAAATTTGATGACTCTATCAATCTCTCGTGGCAGGTACTAGCGATTTTGAAGGTCAGTAGGAAAAGACTTGGAGTTGACCCTACAGACAGTATTTATGAGTGTTCCTAACTCCATTCCTGACCTGCCAAGTTTCACCCAAAACTATGCAGTAGATGTGGTTATTACCTGTCACTGCTGTTATCTTAAGCTTTCAGCAATATTGCAGCTTTGGTGGGAGGGGAAATTGGGAGGACACTGGAGGGTAAGGAGATTCCTGGATAGGTCCAATTCAGGTGTTTTGAGCTTCAAACAAGGCTGCCAATAGTCAGCATCCCATAGCCCAGCTCTAGGGGGTTGATTTGATCCCATTGCCTAAACAGATCCAACAAAGACCACATCTCCTGTCCTCTACCCATGTTGGCCGTATTGTTACTGTCCACCCATCTCTATCCCTAGGCTGCAACTCCAAGGTGGGTCCAAGGGTCCAAGGCTGTCACTGCATGGCTGCTTGCCCATTCCCTAAACTGAAGCTGGCCAAGGGACAGCAGAGACTGTTGGCTCTAGTTACTCAGGCCAGACTCTGGTACTGGAGATGACTAACACCCAACAGGGAGAGAAACCTAGGCTAGATAGGGATGCTGGGTACAACTCACAGAGGTTTGCAGCATCTCATCTTTATTAAGTACAAAACAAAGCTCAGTGATGGGGCCAAAAGGGTCTGTATCTTCTACCCCATCTGTTCAATAACCATTGGCTGATGAGTAGTATGTATTGAACACTCAGGCAACGTGGTGACAGTATTGTAAACAAGACACAAATAGTGCAGTGACCTTTAGGCTGATAACAACAACAAAAACCAAAGGGGCCTTGTAGGAATCTTCAGTAATGGAAGACAAAATTAAGCTGGCCTACAGTGATGATAAAGAATAGAGGACAGGGGGCTGGAGAGATGGCTCAGAGGTTAAGAACACTGCCTGTTCTTCCAGTGTTCTTCCAGAGGTCCTGAGTTCAATTCCCAGCACCCATATGGTGGCTCCCAACCATCTGTAATGAGATCTGGTACCCTCTCCTGGCCTGCAGGCATACATGCAAACAGAACACTGTATACATAATAAATAAATAAATCTTAAAAAAAAATAGAGGACAGATCCAAGTGGTCTTTTTCTTTTTAATATACATTTTATTTAATTTTCTTTTATGTGCATTGCTATTTTGTCTGCATTCATGGTCTACAAAGTGAGGGTGCTCTTAACCTCTAAGTTATAACTTTTTAAAAATTTTATGTGCATTTGTGTTTTGCTTACGTGTATATCGGTGTCGAAAAACAAAAACAACAACAAAAGCACACTACAGAACTTGGTAGAGGCATGGAAATAGGTGTTTTAAGAGGGATGGCAGTCTTTGAATGAGCCAGGATCCCAAGATGGCCTAATCTGAATACATTATCCACTGCAAGAGGAGGAGTGAAAGAGACTACATTATACAGCATTAATAAACCGGCTGAGGTGCTGCTGCTAATGAGTTGTCCAGAATATATTCCTGAACCTTAGAGAGCAGTCTTGTTAAAAGACCTAGCTAGAGCCTGGTGGTGGTGGCGCATGCCTTTAATCCCAGCACTCGGGAGGCAGAGCTAGATGGATCTCTGTGAGTTCGAGGCCAGCCTGGGCTACCAAGTGAGTTCCAGGAAAGGTGCAAAGCTACACAGAGAAACCCTGTCTCTAAAAACAAAAAAAAAACAAACAAACAAACAAAAAAAAACAACCAACCCAAAAAGAAAAAAAAAAAAAATCTAGCTAGATGATGTAAGTTTGGAAGTCTCCCTTTAAAACTGAGCCAACTTTTCATACTGAGACCAAGAGTATCACATTCCTGATATGAGGACATAGTCACCTAAGCTGTACCCAACTGGGAACATGGAAAGAGACAGGGAAACAGGCTAGTGGCCCAACAGCTGAACCGGTCGGTATGACATACATAAGGAAAAGACCAAAAGAGGTTTATATCCCAAATATCCAGCAGGCACTTCCCAAATTACCACACAGAGGCTTGTATTAATTATAAATGCTCGGCCGATAGCTCAGGCTTATTACTAACTAGCTCTTACCCTTAAATTAACTCATAATTCTTATCTATGTTTGGCCACATGGCTTGGTACCTTTCCTCAGTACAAATTATCATCTTGCTTCTCTGAATTTGCCGGCGACTCTGACTCTGCCCTTCTCTTCCCAGAATTCTCCTAGTCTGGCTCTTGCCTTCAAACTCTTACTGCCCAGCTATCAGCCAGCTTTTTATTAGCAAATGAGAGTAATACATATTCACAGTTTAGAAAAGGATTGTTCCACAGCAGAGCAGGGGCATTTCAGAAGCCTGGTGTGGAACTCTACTTTATAGAGAAAAGCAGCATGCAAATCCTACTACTACCATTTAACAGGCAGTCAATGATAACAAGTATATGGGCACTTCAGAGGCTTTATGCATTTAAAGGTGTGTTTGCCTGATGTCAGAAAATAACTCACAAGTTGAACACTGCAAAAGGTTTATTTGTACAATCTTTACAGGGTACTGAGTAAAAATCTTTTCTCTCAAGCATGTTGCTAAAATGTAAATAAATACAAATCAGACTTACTGGTGATAGACAATCCTTTTGCATCTATCTTGATTATAAGAATTTCCATAGCTCTGCAGCCTTCAGTGGTACTGCATCACTCTGGAAAAGATGCCCTCAGGCTCCTTTCCATCCCCCAAAGCTGCAGCAAATCCTTCCTGCTGCCTCCTCTTAGCCAAAGCTGCCAAAGATTTAAAAGTCTTTGGTTCATAGATGGCCAGGTCCGCAAGTACTTTCCTGTTGAGCTCCACCTGGCACTGGGAAGACAAAGAACCACAGCCTGTAGTAAGCATCAGAAACCACTTGAAAAAGCTAAGTGTGGTGGTGTACGCCTTTAATTCCAGCACTGTGCAGACAGAGGCAGGCAGATCTCTGCATTCCAGGCCAGCCAAAGACTAGTGAGACCCTATCCAAAAACAACAGAAATTACTTCAGTAGACTACAGGAGATTCCATGTGGGAACAGACAGGAGGATGCAACCACAAGACCTCGTGAGTCTAGAGTAGCCAGCACCACTCTACTGGTGTCCAACAGCTGGGAATGGTGGGATAGGTAAAACAGGAACATCTTGCCTGTAAATTGTAGGAGGATACTGTAGAATACATTTGGGTAGGGACAAGGAAAGGTACCGGTAGAGGCTACAACATGGAAGAGCCAGCTGAGGCCCAGGACCCATGGTTAGGGTCAGTGGTCACTTGGGCACTAAGACTTCTGGCATGGGCTAATCCTTTACTTTAATTCAAAGACATATAAGCTCATTAAGGCTACAGGGCTGGCAGAAGCATTGAGTTCAAGGTGAGACTACCTCAGAAGAGAGAGAGGCCATAGGGTTGGGAGTGTAACTGAATGGTGAGTGCTTATGCACAGGCCCTGGATTCCATCCCCAGCAATGATGATCAATAACAGGTGATTTCAGAAAGCAGGTAACTTTCACCAGTGGGTCAAGAAAAGAAGAAAGGGGATAGGCTACATATAGTAAATACTGCTAACAAGCCCTAAGTGGACCCTACTTATGTATGACCTGGAAGTGACTTTCTTTCTTTCCTTTTTTCTTTATTTCTTTTGGTTTTTTGAGACAGGGTTTCTTTGTGTAGTTTTGGTCCTTGATCTCGCTGTGTAGACCAGGCTGGCATCAAATTCACAGAGATCCACCTGTCTCTGCCTCCAAGTGCAGGAATTAAAGGTGTATCACCACTGCCTGGCTCTCTCTCTTTTTTTAAAAAAAAGACAAAAATCTCTCTGTTATGTAGCTCTGGCTGTCTGGAACTTACTATGTAAATGAGGGCTGGCCTCAAACTCACAGAGATCCACCTGTCACCTCCCTTCCCCTATTCCAAGTGTTTGGACTAAAGATGTGTACCACCACAACTTGCAGACCTGTGACTTTAAATCTGCTTTCTGAGCTTCAGGCCCACATCAATAAAATGGGAGATATAACACCTCAGCTCACTCAGAGGATCCTTAAAAAGCACTAGGACAATGTCTGTGATAAGGTGGAAGCAGAATGCCTACCATGGACTCTTTTTAAAAGGAAAAATGTGGGATGCTGGAGAAATTGCTCAGGAGTTAAGAGCACTTACTCCTCTTCCAGAGAACCTAGATTTAATTCCCAGAACCTATAGGGCAGTTTATAATCATCTATAACTCAGGGATCCAATGCCCTCTTCTAGCATCGAAAGACACCAGGCACAGATGTAGTACATAGATATACATACAGGCAAAACAACTTTACAATAACATTAAAAAAAAAAACAAAAAAACCTCAAAGCCAAAGTTAAAATTAGTTTTCTATTTTTTTCATTTCATACAGAAACATCCAAATTGGCAACTGTTGCAGGATATTTGATCACATTGTGTTTAGATGTGTCTGTCCTTCCATGCCTGCCTAAGACACCTTGTGATTTAATAAAGAGCTGAATGGCCGCTGGGCGGTGGTGGCGCACACCTTTAACCCCAGCACTCTGGAGGCAGAGCCAAGCGGATCTCTATGAGTTCAAGGCCAGCCTGGGCTACCAAGTGAGTCCCAGGAAAGGCGCAAAGCTACACAGAGAAACCCTGTCTCAAAAAACAAAAACAAAAAAGAGCTGAATGGCCAATAGCTAGGCAGGAGAGAATAGAC